TCTCTGGCCCCCCAGCAAGTTCATGGTCCCCAAAGGAAAAAAAAAAAAAAAAAAAACCAACCTCTCAAAAGAAAAAAAAAATCTCCCCCCACCCCAAAATAAAGAATTATTTCATTTAACTTTATTTATTTTAATTTGACCAGCAAGGGGGAGGGAGAGAGAGAGAAAGCAAGCCACCAGGTCCGGGACCCGAACCACAGTTGGCCCCAGAGGAGTCCAGCACCCTTTATCAAATGTCACCTGCCAGCTCCAGTAAATTCTTGTTTCTAAAGCCACTCAGTCCATAGTATTTTGTTTTGCCCACTTGGACAGAGTGAGACACCGGGTGAGGCTAGGAAGCTCTGAGCCAGGAGATGCCAGGAGCCTTTTCCTCATTAGGTGGGAGAGAAGCCCTGGACCAAGAGAAGAACAGATGGAAGAAGAGGCTCTGGGGACACTCACGCCCCAACTCAGGCAGCCCTCCACAGTGCTTTTCACCCCTTGGCTCCGTGACCCCATTGGACCATTGCATTTCAGTCACGTAGAACCGGAAGTGTGGACAAGTACACAGAGCAACTGAGGTCAGCAAAGACTCCGAATAAATTAGTGCAGAGATGTGAAAACGGTTTACCAACTGGGAAGGAAGTGTGGGCACGGCCGTTATCCCTCACCACCATAAGGGCACTTTTGTGCAAAACAGAAAAACTTCCCTTCCCAAGACACTTTCTTTCCATCTGTTATAATATAAAATCATTTTTAATAGATTCTGGAAGACTGAAGTGCTTTATTGCCATCACTGGGAAATTGGACCAGTTCTCAAGACTGACAAGTGGAATGGGTGGCCTTAGAGGCGATGCTCTTGTGCAGAGCTCAGTCTGCACAGCCATGCACGCCTCTCAGCCTGGGGACCGCCTAAGTGCCAGGACTCGGCACAGAAGACTGCCTTCACAGGGGTCAGCACACAGGAAATACGGGCCATCTATTGCCTTCATCTCAGGTCAGCGCCCTTTCCCATGTCTTCTTTTCTATGATTGATTGATTTATTTTAAGATTTATTTCATTTCATTTCATTTATTTATTTTAATTTGACCAGAGAAGGACAGAGCAAGAGAGACAGAAAGTGAGAAAGCAAGCCATCAGGTCCAGGACTCGAACTGCAGTCGGCCATGTGGGAGTCCAGTGCCCCTAACCACCATGCCACCAGCCCCTCCCATGTCTTCTTATAACATTAATTCACTTGTCTAGAGAAGGACTGCCTCTTCCTTGATTCTAGGTTTATTTGGTCTAGGTGGAGTTTGACCCTGTCCTCCAGCCCCAGTATGGAACCCAAGACTCAGGCCTGGCCAATCAGAGTTGTCCATTTCCCAGGTTCCTATTGGTTCAGATATGGGCCTGTGACACCAAGTAGACCAATGAGAGTCAATCGTATGCCTTGAGCTGGAGATAATAAGGAAGAGATGCTCTTTAGCAGCTACTTTTGTGACCTAAACTTATGGGGCCATCTTTGCCACCAAGAGAGGAAAAGTCAGCTGAGAATGAAGACCATCAAGCCAAGAGAGGGAGCAAATAAGTCTTCATTAAACTCCTCAAGCTCCTTGATCCAGCTATGCCTGAAGCTGGACATCTCTATACTTTATAGAATATACAAAGTCAATAAATCTTTTTTCTTTTCTAACTTGAGTTTTTTGTATGTTGTAACTGAAAAGCTCCTGCTCTAACATTAAGAAGACATACACAGAGGAAACAGCCACTACTGCATATCCCAGTACCAGTTCTGTGAAGGTAACTGAATAAAAGGTGGCCCCCAGGGGCCGGCTGGTGGCATGGTGGTTAAGGGTGCTGGACTCCCACATGGCTGACCACAGTTCGAGTCCCAGACCTGGCAGCTTGCTTTCTTGCCTTCCCCCTCTCTCTCTCACACACACCCTGTCCTTCTCTGGTCAAATTAAAAATAAATAAATAAAGTTAAATAAAATAATTTTTTTAAAAAAAAAAAGAAGGAAGGAAAAGAGGGTCCCCAAGCCTAAGTTTGGGAAATGCTGCATACTCGATGTTCCTTCTTGGAGATTCTCACTGCAAATTAGCTTTATTAAAACTCTGAGAAGTCCTGACATAAAGAAACATGTCTAACTTTAACTCAGAGTTCCCCAAATACCTTTGAACATAAACAAAAAAAAAAAATTTTTTTTTTTGAAAATGTATTAACAATTCCCCAAACAGGCGCTCCAAGGAACCTTTGGGGAAATGTTGACCTAGATGGAGAATTAAACAAAAACCGTCGGCGGCTGCGCTCAGCCAGGCTCTACCTTCCTTGCGGCTGGTGCTCGTCCCTGGATCCGTCGTTAGAAGAGCATCTGTTCTTGTCGGTTGCTGGGTCAGGGTTTCTGTCTGGTTTTGTGTTGTTTCTATTCAGTTCAGAAGAACGAAGAGACACAGATTAAGTTAAAAAAAAAAAAAAAAAGGAGGGGGGATGACTCAGGGATAGGGAAATCCATGGAACAGCAGGGGCCATCCGTCCATCAGGCAAACTTCAGATGCGAATGCACCAAGTGGCATTGCAGGGGAGGGAAAGGGACTCCCTCCTGCCTCAGTAGAGTAATGTGAAAAGTTGGCATCCAATTGAGAGGTCACTTGGAAATCTAACTTAAATGTTTATGTCCTCTGTAACATAGTGTCCAAATAAAATCACAGACTCCGAAGCCGGATGCCTGGACTCCAAGCCTAGCAGCACCCTTGACTTGCTGCGGGACCTCGGGCAAGTTACTCTGAGCCCGTTTCCTATCTGTACGGTAGGGATGGATCATGGCAGTTCGACATCACGGGGTTTGCGTGAGGACTGAACAGGTTAACAGAAGCATATTTAGAACCATGACAAGCACAGAGTAAGTGCCGTCAGGGTTTGCTCAAGGAGGAGGGGACACGGTGGTTTGTCGTGATTCTGTATGTAGCAGGAAAAATGAGAAGCAACAACTATGCCCCGAGAGAGGTGTGTGACTGTTTAGATCAGCACAGGTACCCGGCAGGGGAAAGGAGCCGATGAGTCTTCATGTAGTAACGTGAAAAGAACTTCCAAACACTCTATTGCGTAACAAAAACAAAGCAAGTTACAGAACGATCATATGACATCCTTTATTCTTTTTTTTTTTTTTTTTTTTAATTTTTGCTCTAGGGCACATGTGCTTACTGGAGACAGAAACAAGAGAGAGGGAAAGTGAGAAATCACCCCTCAAGGGGGAAGACCACACCGCAATCCCTTCTTGTCCAATCTCCTCCTCTTGAGAAGTGGGGCACACACGCCCAAGAGTCCAGTGTGTTTTTCAAGCCACTGGGTCCAGGACTCAAGCCACGCAGCTGGCCACGTGGGATGTACCTGCCTTAATCCTACACCATCTGCTGATCTACATATGACAGGCTCACAGAAACGTAGTCCAATTTCTCCAGGTAATGTACATGTGATATAGTATCAAGACACTACCCCCAATGCTCATGGTGGAGGAGAAGGAGGATGGGATGCCGCAAGATTAAAGATGGCGGTTGACAAAGGGATGTAGTTTTGCCTGCAATGGTTTCATTATGTCACAGGCGACGTAATTATATTCTATTGTGTCCTTCAACATCAACTGAAAAAAAAAAATTGGAGAGCACTTTCTGAATCAAGATATATTCCAAGAAGAAGTTTAAAAATTAATTGAAAATTCAAAAAAGGAAAAAGTAGTGGAGCCAGTAAGTGGCATGGTGGTTGAAGTGCTGGACTCCCACATGGCTAACTGTGGATCGAGTCCCAGACCTGGCAGCTTGCTTTCTCACTTTCTGTCTCTCTATGGAGAGGACACATACCTGAGAGCAAAATTAAAATAATAATAATAGAAAGTAAAATTAAAAATTAAAAAAAAAACCTCTATTCTGAAAAAAAAAAAAAGAAAAGTAAAAAGCTTAAAGACACAGATAGGATTGGCACAGTGGGTTTTTCTGGGTGTGTCTGTGAAGTTCTATTCCCTGACCTGGGTGGTGGTTAAACAGGGGTTTGATTTCAAACAAGTCGTTACGTTGTACATTTAGGGGGTTTGTATTTTTGTAAATGCCTGCTATATTTTAACCATTTCCAACAGTTGTTTTTTTGTTTTGTTTTTTGGGTTTTTCTTTTTTTGCTTTTTTTTTAAAGAAGTGAATGGAATGGATTTGGCTGGCTGCCTCACCACAAAGTAATCCAGGGATTCGGCTGGGCCACGGGGAAGGGGGCCGAACTGGGTAACTGAAGCCACAGAGTCAGAGAAAGGGGGGAACTGTCCTAGGTCGGTCCCAGGCCCACCCCCACCTCCTGCCCCTGCCCCACTCACCATCAGCATGTTGGGTGGAGGTCTCAGGGTTAGATTTGGGTTCTGGGGAGACTGGGCCTGGCGTCTGGACTAGGGAGAGAAGAAGAGAAGGCTGTAGACCGAGATCGGGAGACTGCCAGAGCAGCTCAGCGTGGATGTAATGAAAATGACCTAACTGCCATTCGCAAACTGCCCACATGGGGCGCCAGTATCTCCCCCTACCTTGGGCCCTCAATCCCACAGATGCCATCCTGAAGACTCTTTCTTGGGGATACCTGCTGCAAATTATTAGGTCGTCAGGAAAGTCATGGCCTACCGTTCTGTCTTTCTATGCAAAAATGCATCATGACTTTCCAGATGACACAACGGCTTTCTCAAAATGGGTTTAGCTCCATTGTCCAAGGAGATCTGATCTCAAACCAGCACCCATCTGCTCTGATATGAGCCCCCAGAACTTCCTCTGGGGAGCTAGCCTTTCTGGATCTTGGCCCACTTTATTCAGTAGGGCTGGCACCAGGCAGGTTCAATCTGCTTGAGGCTGAATACGAGACCCAGGCCTGGCCAATCAGCTTCTGTGGCTGTGGCCACAGTGATCAGCTGGGCACAGAACCTAAATGTGGCCAATGATACTCAGTCCTGGGACATTCGCCGAGTTTGGGAAGGGGAAATTCTCTTGCGTGGATTCTTAGTAAGATGGGAATTCCGGGCCTCTGGGGACCATTCTAGGTCCCTAAAAGAATATTTCTGAGAATAAAGCGAACACAGAGAAAACAGAATTAAGACACGGGGGCAGGTTCCTGATAGCATCATTTGAGCACCTAGACCGAGCCACACCTGAAGGTCTGTCTCTGGGTCTGTCTTTTTAGTTACATAAGTTCATAAATTCCCCTGTTTAGTCCAAGTTTGGGGGGGAGGGGGTCGTTGTTGCTTTTGTTATTTGTACAAGATCTTGACAGACCTGGCTCTCTTTCCGCACCTGGGTCATGAATGTTTACAGTCGTTGAGTCCAGTGGAGAAAGAGATGGGGCTTCCTCTGACGTCTGCCCTGGGGAATCAAAGGATGAGAAGTTAGGAGGAAGCCTTTGGTCTCCCTTCTCTCACCACAATCCCACCCTGCCCTCCCTTCTGAAACCTGGGGGGCAGCTCCGGAAGTCCTGTCCTCTGGTGGGACCAATCAGCTTTGGCTAGATCTGTCCATGATCCTGAAAGTGTTTGAAGCTTTGCTAACACCATCCCCATGTTCCCTCCAATCCCATCTCCCTGCCCATCCTTGCGGGGTGGAAGAGGTGGTCTAGTGAGCGCAGGCCCTAGGGTCAGCCAGGGCCATGGTTTCCAGTTCTACACCAACAACTTCCTCGCTGTGTGACCTGACACACTTGAAGTTCCCTCTCTGAGCTTCGGTGGCCTCATCTGCAAAATAGAGATAACTGCATCTATTTTACAGGGCTAGAGACAGGGTGAGCTGAGACAGAGGAGGAAGAAGGTCTTCCCCTGCCCCCAGGCTGCCCAGCCTGGACAGCCAGCAGCTCCTCCCCGGTCTCTTGCACCTGCGCCTGCCCCTACCCTACCTGCAGGCAGAGGGAGCCATCCATGCTCAGAACTCTGCCCTGACTGCAGATATAAACCTTGCTCCAGGTAGAAAACAAAAATAAAAACAAAAACAAAAGCCCAGGACCAGCGGGTGGTGTGGTGGTGAAGGCACTGGATTTCCACATGGTCAACCATGGTTCAAGTCCCAGACCAGGCAGCTTGCTTTCTCACTTTCCCTCTCTCTCTCTCTTTCTCTCTGTCTCTGGTGACTGCACATGCCCTATAGTGAATTTAAAAAATAATAATAAATGAAATAAAATTAAAAATTATTATTATTTTTTTATTTTTAGAGATATTTTTGCTATAGGGTATGTGTGCTCGCCAGAGAGACAGAGAAAGGTAGAGACAGAAAGCGAAAAATTCCCCTCCATCTGGTCCCATGTCACTTCCTTGAGCTTTCTTCTTCCCACTCTGTCCCTTGTTCACTCCAGTCACCTTCCTGCCTGCCAGTCAAGCTCACCAGACACGCTCTATCCCTTAGATGAAGGCTCAGTCCCTCATCTTCTGCAAGTATTTCCCCACACATCGCCCTCTCGGTGAGGACTCCCCTGACCGCCCTGCTTCAACAATCGTCATCATCCTCTGCAGCTGTCCACAGCAGGTATGGCCTGCCGGCATTACGTATGATGTACTCATCGATCTGTTTTCTCCACTAGCATATGACCTGCTGTTTCATTTGCTGTTTCTGCAGGGCATAGAAGATCTGACACACAGGAAGTGCCCAACACATGTCTTTAGAATGACTGGGGGGGGGGGAATGTGAAAAACACTGTATCAGAGGTAAATGGGGAGCAGCAGGTGGTTAACCTGCTGGATTCCCACATGGCCAACTGCAAGGTTTGCGACCCAGACCCAGTAGCTTGAAGAACGCACCTAACATGTGTGTTCAAAATCCCAAGAGGAGAATGGATTATAGAGTGGCCATCCCCCCTGGGGGATGATTTTTTCACTTTCCCTCTCTCTGTGTCTGTCTATTTCTGGCAAATTACATGTGCCTTATAGCAAAAAAAAAAAAAAAAAAAAAGAAAAGAAAAGAAAAAAAGAAAAGAAAGAGAGAGAGAGAGAGAGATGGGAGACTGGCCCCATGGCCTAGTGGTTAAGGGAGCTGGATCCCTCATGGCTAAGTGCAGTCTGAATCTTGGACTGATAGCTTGAGAAATCTCCCAGGCACGTATGTGTGTGCACCCTAAATCCTGTTAGGATGGAGCCATGAAGGAAAAGGGATTACAGCATGTCCATCCCCATTGGGAGGTGCTTTCTCTCTCTCTAACCAGTGCACACACTCCTAGCAAGTTTCAAGAGCGAGAGGGAGAGACGTGGGGTACCTTCAGTGGAACATGTGCCCTGAGTTCCGGGGACAGGCAGGACAGCTGTAACTCCTGCTCCTCCACTCGCTAGCCTCTGGCACAGGGCATTTCTCCTCCCTGAGCCTTCATTTTCTCGTTTGTAAAATAGGCATGGTGGGACCAGCAGGTGGCAGGGTGGTTAAGGCGCTGGACACTCCCACATGGCTGAGAACGGTTCAGGTCCCAGACCTGGTGGCTTCCTTTTGCACTCAACCCCTCCACCACTCCACCACATGTGTGTCTCTCTCTGGTCAAATTAAAATAAAATGAATAAATAAATAAAATAATTCTTTTTTAAAAAATAGGTATGACAACATGTATAACAGAACCGAAGCCTAAACAGACCAGCGCACACATCTGCCAAGTCTCACGCATCGGCAAAGGCCGGCTGGGTCATTGCCTTTGGGAAACACTTCCCAGGCAAGGCTCGGATGTCTCCCACTCTTGACCAGTCCCAGCTCAACCATTCTGCCTAGCTATGCATTGCCTGGGGGTCCAGGGATGCGCTCTGCGGGGAGCCCAGGTTTCCTGGCTGCTGAGGAGAAAACTGACACCCATCTCCCAGCCAAATCAAACTCAGTCTGTTCTTCTTGGAGGTGAACAGGAGGATGCTCAGCAGGACAGGCTCTGGCCAGACTCCTTGGAAGCAGCCACCCAGGGCTGAGGTGTCCATGGAGGGTAGAACCCCACCTGGATATAGGAATCCCCACCTCCTGCTTCTTGGCACTACGGGGGCAGGGTGGATCCAGACAAGAGCTGGGTCTTACCTCTGGTAGGGAGAATCAGGCCCACGATGGTGAGGAGACACAGGCGACCAGACGGCGACATCTATGGGGTGAACCAGAGCTGGGTAAGCCGAGAGGTCAGAAGGCAGGCCCAGGGCAGCCCCATTCTCTACCCTGAACAGGCCCCTCTGGCTTCAAGGACCCTCTGCCTGGGCTGACAGCTGGTTTGGGGAGAAGGGAGGTCTCAGAGGTGGGGGTCCCAAGCCGCCACCCCCTTCTTCCCTGTGTAGGTCCCCAAAGAAATCAAGAAGCGTCAGAGCGAACTGGCCTCCCGGCAGCAGCGACAGCACAGGAGCAGCAAGGAGCGGGAGAGGAAGATGAGTAATGTGCTCCTGACCTCAAGGAAAATGTGAGCTGGTGTCAGGGGCCGCGCGGCAGAGGCCATGGGGCAGGATGCGGATCGATCTGAGACGGCCTGGCCCGAGAGGGCTGGAGGGAGCTGGGGAGACTGAGGCAGGAGGAGGTTGGGAAGCAGGGCGGCCCACTGAAGGCAGAAGAGACAGAGAGAAGAGCATGAATGGGGCTCCGAGAGGCACGGAAAAGGTCAGCCTTCTACCCACCTGAGCCCGGCCCCAGGGCAGGGCGGCGGATGGAGGTGGAGCGGAGGAGGAACTTACGTCCGAGCTGGGGGTCCCTCTCGGGCAGCCTCGTGGGGAGAGGGCAGCGGCAGTAGCTGCGTCCAGGCGGAGGGTGTGGCCAGGGGAGCGCGGGCGGGCGGGACGAGACGGGCTCAGTCATTTCCTCTTGGGTTTCCTGGCTTCAGAGCCCGGGGTGGGAGCAGGAGGGGGAGCCGCTGAGGGCGACGACGAGGGGCAGGGGTGAGAGGCAGGACAGCGGCCCCC